GTGTGTGTGTGGGTGTGTGTGTGTGTGTGTGTGTGTGTGTGTGTGTGTGTGTGTGTGTCACTTTTTTTAATATCCCTTTTTATTTTTTAATGTTTATTAAACAGGAACAATATATAAGACATTGCCTTTTAAAATTGGGACAATTACATGCATGTAAAACATCGAGCTTCAGTGTGTTTGCAATTTAAGTCCCTGGTCAGGCTTTAGAACAGGGGTGGCCAACCACTCAGAGACGAAGAGCCAGTTTTTTTTACTGAGTTACTGCAAAGAGCCACATCATAACCTTCCTCGCACACACACACACACACACACTTTTTTGGCGAAAGATCAACTTTTGAAGCGACCAACTTCTCACGAACGACCCGATCGCGTACGTGCAAGCATACACACACACGCAGCGCTACACACTCACGTGGGTGCCCACCAGTGCACTTGCGCACATATGCACGCACACTACGATGAGCAACAGTTGGAACAGGCTGAAAATGAATGAAAGCTAAAGATACAAACAAACAAATCTTTTTTTTCCCACGCATTTCCTCCTCCCAACCCTTGCGGTCGACCTGGGACCAGTTCGCTGGCTCCCGGTCCATTCTGATCGACGTATTGGGCACCGCTGCCTTAAAATCAGAGGTAAATTACTGACTAGCTCAGCACTTAGCGCCGTTGTTTGCGCTTGAGCAGTGATGCAGTCATCTGATTGGTTGCTCTCTATGTCAATCAAGTAACGGGATTAATGATAGGCTGACGGAGTACGTTCTGTGAAGTTGGCCCCTTATTTGAATGGCATCGCCGCTGCTGAGGCGTTTTCGACGCTTGTCATGTGAAAGCCCGAGAGCATTGAATCAGCCAAAGAGCTGCATGCGGCTCGCGAGCCGCGGGTTGGCCACCCTGCTTTAGTAGCATGACTGGCAACTGGCAATGACAGTCGCGAGTGGCACCTTCCCTCTTGGGTGATACCATCTCAACTAGAACGGGGGGAAGAGTCTCCAAATATCTCCCCTTTTATAATTCAACACAATTCACAACAAAAAATATTCGCTTTTCTATAAATCAATTCTTTCACTATCCGACCCCTGCTGGTCTTGTACTGTCCCTTTGTGTCCATCTGTGTCTTCTCCTCATCTTGTTCGTTTATCCTGTCCTTGCTCTTGTTCTCTTCCCTCATCCAGTCACTGCCCTTGACTCTCCTGTGGTTTGGGAGGTGTCAGGTTTTGTTCTGTTGGTCTTGCAGCATCGTTTTGTTCCGTTCGTCTCTCCGCCATATTTTGTTCTGCTGGTCTCAGAGCCACTCTGTTATGTCTGTACAGAGTGCCTTCCACATCCACTACATAGGACCGAGAGCCCCCCTGCTGGAGACACACACCTCTTCTCCATCTCCCGGTCCGATCTCCAGGCAAAGGCTGCATTCTTATTGGTTGGCCAATTTTTAGTTCTGGCAGATCTCTAGCTGATTTGTCATACCACAGTTTGGTTGTTTGATGCTTAGCCTTCAACTTCTCCGTAACACCTGTCACTATGCATGGCTCCAACAGACTCTCCGAAACGGGAAGTGGCGTTTTCAGCCGACGGGCCATCAGTCTTTGAGCCGGACTGTAGTCCATGTTGTCTGAAGGGGTATTCCTCGACTGCAATACAGCCAACCAGGGATCAGAGCCAGCACTAGCAGCTTTTTTTACACAGATTCTTGGCTATTTTCACAGCCGATTCAGCCTTGCCATTTGACTTGGGGTGTCTCGGTGAAGACATAACATGTTCAAACCCCAAATCTTCTGAATGTGTCATTCTCAAACTGTGGCCCACAGTCAGTTATCACCCGGTCAGTCTCGCCATAGCGAGGAAATTGTGATTTACACTTTAGAACTGTGGTTTGTCGCATGCAATTCCGAACGGGAATTGCATGCGACATCATTGTCTCTT